ATCTCCAATAATCTAACAGTCATGGCGCCAAACAGGCGCGTGAAAACGTGTGAGTCCTCAACCCCACCCGAATACTTTTCGAATTCAACCGCGGAGAGGGGAATCAGAAGATCCTCCAAGTACTCGCCGTTCGAACGACTCCACCTGTTTTTCTTGCGCGTTCTGGCAGTACGAGCCATGGACTGCCCTGCGAAACCCTCCCCGCAAAGAAGCGCGGAGCTTTCGACCACCTTTTCTCCCACAAAGTCGCCCTCATCTTCAAACGGCTCTTCCTCTTCTTCCTCAGACTCCTCATCAACGCCCTCTGCCTCGCGCCTTGCTCTGCTCGCTCGGGCAATCTTACACCTCTCCTCCCAAGGCCGAGCTATCTGCAAAGTGTCGGGATGCTAGTTGCGCGCACTTTCTGAGCGTTCGATTGGACGATTCATTCGCGCACCATATCTGTTGTGTAATTGAGACAGTGGACGTGCGCATGTACTAACGGGTTCTAGTTCTACGGTTTGACGAATTTGTCCTCAGGGGTTCCTCTCCTCCTCGGTCGAGAAAAGCTTCATAGGCACTCCTAGTCAATTCTACGACGAACGCTCGCTCCCCAGGCGCATTTTTTCACTGTGGAGCGTACCTGTGAGAGATGCACGAAGCGCACGTGCAGTCCGAGCGCGCGCGCGGCCGCGTATAGCACCGCGTCGGCCCCCTTGAGCAGCGCCGCCGGCCGCTCCGCAAACGTATTGCTGACGTGGGGGTAGCGGTGCTGGCACATGAACCCGAGCCGGCCCCCCCCGGGCATGAAGCTCTCCTGAGCGAGCGCTTCCGAAAGGGTCCGGAACAGGGGGAGCGCGCGCAATTCAGCGCGCGCGCTCAGCGGGTGCCCTGGGTACGGCGCCTCGGCTTCGGCGTACAAGTTGTACGTCAGCGTGATGCGGTAGTTGCTCGTTACTTCCTTGATCTGGGCGACAAGATAGAGAGGGAGAGTCGCGCCGCTGACTACATGTATCGGTCCAAATGCTGGAAGATACCCCAGGGACCTGGAAGCTTCGACCTTTACACAAATTCAATCGTTACTGATCGCATCCAAAAAAAAATTGGACCGCAATGCAGAACTTTTAGTTCAGTAGAACCTGCAGATCAAAATCATGTCCTCCTTTACACGGACAAATTGCGAAGAGCCGGAATCGTTCTGGCAAAGATACCAAGAAGAATTAAGTTGGGAGCAAGCTTCCCCCGATTGTGTGGACTGTAAGAATTCGTAGAATAGCGACTTGGCAACTCTTGGATAGATACACGCTTCTTTATCCCACTGCAGGTTCGAAGATACTCACACGCCGCCACTCTCAATAAAGGTCCAGAGTTCCTAGCAATACGCGGCTGCTCGTGGGATTTCAATTCAACATCATTTAAACAGAAAGAAAAGAGTTCAAGGATTTGAACAGCACCTCATGCTCGCAGTCGGAGTACAAGGCACACCACTGGATCGCCTCGCCAGACTTCTTGCTCCAGTCGATGACGCAGGTCTGCCCCCGGTGCCGGATGTGCAGCTCCCCTCCCTCGTAGGGGGAGGGCAGGCAAATCACTAGGGAGCCGAACATATCACCCCCCCGGGGTGTGTCCACGTGTGCCTTAAAGAAGTCTCCGGGCCTGCATTCAGAACCGTGATAACAACAGTGATGATGACTGCGACCCGTGTGGCGGAATGAAAAGTTGGCTTCCGGGTCCTTCTTGTCGGCGTCTGATATTCAGTATTACTAGAGCGTATACGCCGTTCAGCTTCTTTGAACACTAGGGTGCGATTTACAAAGTGTCAGGAGGGAATATCGCCGTTGACCAAGTCTGGGAAACATTTAAGCAGGTGCTCGTTAAGCGGTTGCGCTGGAGGGCCAAACTTCTACTGCACAAAGGCTGGCTTCCAGTTTACTTATGTCGTGCGAAAAGTGAAATTGGAGTTTGAGACGTGGGGTCTTATGCTTGCAAACTCTTAGCATCACCAGATGAGACTCAACGTTGTGCGAAGCGGAATGTCCTTCGCAGTCTTCCGCTTTGCTTCCAACATTGAGAATTCCCAAATTAAAGGGCCACATGCCTTACCCGAGCGAAACAGTAAAAAGATATTTATCTACGCAAAAGCTCAGCATCGCTCTCCAATAAAACGTCAACCTGGACAACGCTCTGCAGCCAAGTCACGCTCACCGATAAACGTTTAGCTTGTGAAGCTCCGCCCCGATGCTCCGCCCTGATGCCCTTCGCATCCGGCGCCATGACGCGGTGAATGTCCGGCAGAATGCTGTACTCGGAGAGGTTGAAGGTACAGGCAAATTGACCACCAAGTTTGAGAGCCTTCCTGGAAGATGCAGAACATTCCTTGCCTCAGAACGGATGGAAAGGTTTTGGTAAGGTGGCTCGCTTCAACCGAAAACGTTGCGATACAGGGCTTTCACGGTTTGGATTCGAAGTTTCAACGGCAGATTTCTGTAATCATAAGAAGCACAAGATCTCCACAAGGAAGGGCAAACCTCGGGCGCCCCGATTGCATCCGAGTTGCCAAGTTGCTCGCCCGTTCATTTTCTGATTGTGAGGATTTCTCGCACTGAGCTCGCACTGTCCCAGGAATCAGACCGGCTACAAAGCCGTCTCAACAGTACGCACCTGTAAGTTGGATCAAGAACGTCTTCCAAACCCCTTCCAAAGGTGGCTTCTTCGCAGGCGTCGAGCAATTGAAGCAGGTCTTCCTCTTCGCCTGACGAAACAGGAAGCTCCAAGACCTTTGACTCTCTTGCGGTCTCGTTTGACTGCATTAAGCAGAGAAACAAGTAGTGTCTTACAAGGATCATCCCCTTTCAATGACACTTGTTTAGGTTGGTGCTATCATGCATTACGAACCTAGACTCCGACAAAGAAACTAATGTTTGACATGGTGGCCCATGCATATACTCGTGACAGCCACTTCAAAGATACTAGCCAGCTCTCACACAGTTTGTGCGGACCTTCCCCAGCAAGCTGCTAGTTGATAGAGCAATCCAGTGCCAATCCGTGGATCTGTTGCTGCGTAGGTCTGATCAAGATCAGAGGACATTGGAGCAACAGCTTGCTTAAGAGAAACCATGTCAAGTTTTGAACAAATCAGCTTGAACTAGTCACACAACTAGATTATTAGATACTGAACCAGAGCAGAACAAGAGCGACTTTTATCCTCATACCTCACAAGCCTGTGGGCATCTGACTCACCGGAAGATAAAACAGTTTCAGACCTTCGATTGGAAGTGGAACAAATCCTCCATAGCAGAACGTGGCTGTGAGGCCCTCTGCATTCTTTCCGATCTGGCCAAGGAGGTCGCTCATCCTTGAAGGAGTTCCATCAGTTTCGGACTCCGATCTGGATGACCTGGACAAGTCTGGTGCGGCGCTACTACTACTATTGCCTGACGTAGCTCTGACGTGAAGAGTCCTTGACGGAGGAGCTTGATGTGCGAATCCAAGCTGTTCTGTCAAGAGATGAGTACTAGTCGTTGTGTAGTATACATGATTCTTGTGTGTCTGACCAGAGGAACACCTCTGGTACACCCTGGAGCTGAAAGTGTTGCTTGCAGAATTTGAGGTATGCTGAGACCGACTGAAGCACCCCGGCATTGCTTGGGATAAAACGTACGTGCAATCCACCCCTGATCCAGCAGCCAGCAAAGCCATGTTGATCAAAACACTGTGACGCTCTGTGGAAGATGCCCTGCTTGATTTCTCCGCACCTCCCTCCTGCTTTCATTCGCCAGCTGTACATCTCAACAAGGGAACGATTCCGAATTGTCCAATCATCACCATATTGCGCGGCATCGCACTTGGACCCGCCAGGAAGGGTGGCCGGGATTTGGAGAGGTTTTCCAATCCAATCATCGTTGTACAAGCGCGCATGCAGTCGAAACCTACCAACTAGTGTGGGCTTCAAGGATACCGCCTTGATCTCAGCTCGGAGTCGCGGGAGATATGCGATTCCCTCGGAACCACGTATGGCTGCCCTCTATCACGGATCTCCATGCATTTGCAACGCGGAAGTTTCAGTGACCAATGCAGACCTACCGTAGCTACTGTAGCCTTTTGTTCTGAGATCGTCGGGCAAGCAATGACAAGAAAGCTGAGACAGCCCTCAGTACAGTACGAGATCGAGCATGACGATCAATATTGGGGTGAAGAACCTTCCAACCCAGTGTGCTTTGAATGTCTGTAGCCTGCAAGCTGCACGGGCAACTTGAATTGGCTCCAATGATGCATACACTATACGCGGCTTTTCACCCTGAGTAGCTTCCTGCCTGCACCCTGCAGGCACGTATAGGTTCTCCAGGCGCCTAGTTCTGCAAAATTGTGCATCGCTCAATCAGCAGCAAACACTCTGCGCCTGCATTGCTTTGTAGCATGCCGCGCTGCGCAGGTTGATGTGGCTCCGACATGTCATGAGCATATCAGACAGCGTACACGCTCTAACTGGCACGCACATATGCCTAGGTAAATCGTTGTCACTGCGACCATAAATTTCTTCTCAAGCGCATGTCCATCAACGAATGCACATTCAAGAGAGATTTGATGGCGGCGGCCGCGCTCATGAGAGGATAAATTCGTATCATGCTTCATTTGATCATGCAAACATGCACGACACTTGACAACCGGAAGGGAGCCTAGGACTCTACGTGCGGACCGTCAGTTGGCCTTGCTAATGAAGTCGGCACGACAACAGATCCCGCCAGTTTCAATACACTCGCTCAAAGGTCGACACAGGTCTGAGGAAGGCTATGACAATCGTCAGATTATCTCCGCTTAGTCGATTTGTGATGGCTTCCGTAGCAAGTCGCTTTCCGACCAGGAATGGGTCCTTCACAGTGTCGTAGACAAAAGCGAGGGCCTCTTCGTTGCTGACGACGTCCCAAAGTCCGTCGCTGGCAATGATCTGCACGAACAAACAAACTCCGCCTTGAAATGGAGCACAAGGAAACCTTGACTGAGCGACGGACCGCACACGAGGGCAAAGGCTCCAAAGTTATTCAAACGACCTTCTGTTGTCAAATTGCATCAAGAGTTTGACCAACTACCGGGATGCATGAAGACGTTCAGAAGGCGCCAAGCGAGACGGACAAGATGTAACTGACAGAGACATAACGGTCGCGAAAACAGATAGCCGATACTTTGTTCACCCGTTTGCTTACCAGAAACTCGTCCTCTTCCGTGAGCTCAATTGCAGAGACCTCAGGGAAAGCGGTGACTGCGGGCTTCAGATCTCCGTCTCCGATGGACCGAGTCACCTGCGAGCGCTCCAAAGATTGACTTAAGCAAAATTGAGTTGGAAGGGCCCATCCTCATGACCAATCACGTCGCCCCTGGGCGGCTTTGTGAATTCGAACAATAAATCGTGGCTAGCGGAAAAGATTATGGTGACCAGATTGCAATCTTCTTGTGCAGGATCTGTGATGGGAAGTAATTGCCGCGTAATCAGCTGACAGCGCCATTTCTCAGCCAGAATTCCTCAATCATTGGACCTATTACGGTGGCAACCAAAGTTTTTGAGAATCAGGAATCAGCAGTGTTTACAAGTCGAACTTCGTCAGAGCAGGTTGCCACGTGATCTCGATGTGAACCATTTCGCCTTTCCAAGGGCGACCCGCCGCGGTTTTTTAATGCGCCCTCTTTGCCCACCTGAATCGCTGCCTGCCCAACCCGCCACGTGTCGACCCGCCATTCCACAATGCCTCCTGCAGCCTCAACTCGAGCTCGCTCCGTTGGATCCTCCGCGATGTGGTCCTATAAACGTGAAAAAGACGCGTTCAGAAAGGTCACAGCTTCTAACACACTTCGAAGAGGCAGGGAGTCTACGTTCTCTTTTGCGGCGACTAATCAGTATGTACTTTGCGACAAAGAGCAGAATTCGATGTATAATCCTGAGTACGGGTGGTCTTTCATGGCTTTGCGGATTTACATGGAGGGCTCTGATATCCTCAGCCTTGACCCTTAATCGGATCGTCCTCACCAAGATGACGGAGCGTTGCAAGTTCACCAGCACACTCCAGTATACGCTCTGAAATTGCAATGTCAATAAAACCAAAGCAGGCTCTTCTTACTTTCGTAATCTGCACAGCCTTTCCGTTTCGACAGAGGACCGCTCTGCAGTCTCCCGCGTTTGCCACCACCAATTTGTCGTCGATCACGAGCGCGGCCACCGCAGTACAGCCGGGATGCCAATCCTTTCCGCCGCCTCGTCTCAGCACCCGGCGTGCGTCGACTTCTCTCCGAAACTGCTCGTCGGTCCGCGTAAAGGTTGCCACGAGAGCATCTTCCGCACTGCAGAAAAAGGACCTTCGTTAAGCCAAAGCAAGGCAAGGCAAAACGTCAGAAGCAAGTGCGGATCGTAAATAGACGCGTAAACGGTCTGGATCTGTGGCCCTGACGTGCACAGAGCAAAGATGCACGTCTTGCACGAGACGTTCTTGATCTGTTTAGTAAGACTTGGCCAATCGAGCGGGGAGACGGCATATTATTTCCGGTGTTTTCATCCAGGAGCAAGGAGTCTCTCAAAGAATGATCAATTGCACGGGCGAACTAGAACAGGGCAAAATTCAATGTATGAGAGGTTTAAGCAACCAAAAGTCGAGAAGGTCACGTCCCGCACCTTCGGCCCTCCTTCAAGCTCTTGTACACGTGGCGGGGAACGGCACTGGCAGCGAACTCCGCGGCTTCCGCACCTGTACGGACTCAAAAGAATTGAAATAGAATTGAGGCGATCGAGCATACTCTGACGAGCTGCGCCGCGAAGTGCTTTTTGGAGGTCCACGAATAGTTGTCACGTGGGCGGAGTCTTCAAACTGCGGGAAAGTGTCTGCGATTCAAAGCTTCAGTCCACATTTCCCGCACGAGTACACGTGGTGAACACCCACGCATGAGAACGATAAAGCTAGGTAAATTCCGCCTTTCTTGAGCGCACGAGGCTGAAGTAGAATGAGCAGAATTTACTGACCACAAATAGTAGCATGCCGGAAACTTCAACAGTTCGGAGAAAAGCCTAGCCTACCCACCTCTATGACCATCGAAAATGCCAAACAGATGGACCCCGTCCAACCCCCCCAGGTCTTGCATCGCCACATGCGTATCCTCCATCCGGTCTCGTGCGCCCTTGGTCTCAAACACGCCGCTCGCGACTGTGGGTCGATACCCTCGTTCCGTTCCGTCCTTCCGTTCCGTTTCCGCTGGCACCACCGCTGCGGATGCCAGCTCCTTCGTCCCCTCTCCCAACGAAACGCTCGCCTCAGCCGCCTGCCGCCAATCGGTCTGCTCGGTTCCTTTCACCCGCCCTTCCGCCCCCATTTCCGCGCCGGATTCTGCGGCCTGATTCCGTGCGAGCTCCGCTTTGAGAAAATCTAGCTCTTGGATGACTTCTTCCAACTCTGGTCGCTGGAGGGGGTCAGAGTGCCAGCAGCGCTCGATGATGGAAGCGAGGCCGGGCGGGGCTCTTGAGGCGGCGGTCATGAGCACGGGGCGCAGCTGGTCGACGGTGATCGCCGCTGCTAGTTGCTGTTCGCTGTAGTCCATCTCGAGAACAGTATGGCACTGCAGAGAAGGGAAAACGCCTGGTAAATTGCCGTCTACTGGCCTGCGCTTCTGGCCTTAGGAGACGCTCGCTAGACCAAAGACCGATAGAACTTTGAGCTCGTACCTTAAAAAGGTCGTCGGCATATGAAAAGATTCGAATAACGACAGAAAGCAAGCACCTAAACGTCCGAAGAGCGAATCCTGTGTAAAGGGTCGCACGCTTTTGTCAGATGGATCCGCGAGCAAGAGGAGCCAGTCAGCAAAAGATTTCTCGATGAAGACTCCTTCAGGGCGACAATCTTTAGTCACCTTTACAGGAAAACGAAGACGGTAGGGGGTCTCACCTGTGCATCAGTGTACCTATCCGAGTAAGGTATCGTCCTCGTGGCAAGCTCGCTGCAACAACACGAAAACAACGAGCTACACTAAGCTTGACTTCAGCTTGTCATATTGAGTCATCCAGTGTTTCGAAAGTGCTGACATGTTGGTAGACTCCAAAAGTCACTCTCGTCATCAGGAGTACAAAGCTTTCAAACCACAGTACTTCATCTCTGTCACAGGGGAGAAAGAAGCATCTTCTACGGTTTAAGAAACTTGAAGGAGACGGAGCAGAGAGGTAGAGAAAAAGACGTACTTGATGGTGATGGCATAGCTGTAAACATCGGCCTTCGTAGTCGCTACCTCTTTCTTCAGAACTTCCTGTTCCAGAAGGGACAGCGGTCAAAAAGCTGCAGAGTCGAAGGCGCTCGACAACAAGTTTGAAAGCCCGTGATAGACGAGAGGGTCGCGAGGAGAAGGTCAATGAATATGAACACAGAGTTAAAATCTGAAATTCAAATCATTGTCACAGCCGAACAGAAATCTTCCAGGACCGATGGCAGGAAGAAAGCGAACGAAGTTGAGCGGAAGAAACATACCGGGGCCATGTAGTAGAAGGTGCCAACCAGAAACCTCTTGTGAAAGCCCCCAGTAGGCTTCCCCACTGCTTTCCAGGACTTGCTGAAGTGCTCAATCTGGTTGGCTTGGATAGCAAGGCCGAAGTCGCTCAAGAAGGCGTTGTAGTTCTCGTCCAGCTGGATCACAGTTTCAAGTCAGAGGATGAAAGAGAGTGGACCTACATAATGTAACAGTGTCAAGCCTACAAGCTCTCATTCAAGCAGCTGCAACGGTGTTGTCTGATTCTGTTTCTGGGTTTGCAGTAACTCAAAGATCACGAAGAAAATAAATATTTTGCAGCCTCACCAGGACGTTGGCTGGCTTCAAGTCCCGATGCACGAAGCCTTTCGCATGTACATAACGGAGAGCCTTCGCTACACGAAGGCATGAGAGGATCGGTTGAGGGCCAGTTCATTCAAAGGGTCAGTCGTGATCTCACATCTGTACATATTCAATTAGAGCAGTCTTCGAGACTAGAAACAATCAATTGAAAAACATCCTAGGCTGTCTACGTTTCTAATGCAAAAAGGGAATCACAACAAACAATCTTTAGTTCTAAAAAACCTTCTAATGCCTGCTCACCAACTTGAAGGGCAATTTCTAGAGTTGCTGTCCCTGTGGGTTTCCACTCTCGCTCATGTAGGGCTTCTGCTAGATTCCCTTTCTCAAAGAGAGGGAAGACTGTGATGTAATCAGGTGGATGAGCTCTGGCTGCTCTTAGTGGAGCGATGTTTGGGTGGTCGAGCTCACTGCATACAGGATGATGACCAGACTTGGAAACTGAGAGGGTGACAAGATCTATGCCTTGAGCTGACAGCGAAGCTGCTCCTGGTTCCCAATATTTCAGTCAAAGAGAGGGCCTGCGAATACGGCTCTTCTACAATGATTGGTGATTTGACATTTGACTTTCCTTTTCTTCTACTGTTTAGTTAGATTCTCGAAGACTCACAGTAGCAGCTGCAATTCTTTGTGAAATCGGTTGATGTCCTCCGCAGTTGCCAGCTTAGGCTTCTTGGCCGCCACAGTCTGATCCTGGTATGATGCGCGGTAGACTGTACTTTCAGAACCTGCAAGCAGCACGTTGACACCAGCTCAGGTGACTATGGCAGCTTATAGAAAGAGACAAGCAGAAAAGAAAGATTCCTTCTATAAGCAGCTAGGTTCCTTTGATTGAAGGAGTTTTAAATGGTTGCACTAGAACGGCACATGATGTTGCAGAAGTTGCCATTGACGCTTCAGTAGCGAAGGGCATACCTTCCGCAAGTGGTTGAGATAGTAAGAACTCAGCCTTCGGTACGTTGAGGCGAATTTGACTGCTCTTGCAACAACCCCTTATACATGAGGTATCCTCGCCGCTGTCACCACTGTTCAAAACATTCTTGGCCTCAACCACTGGCACACTCTGCTGTGCAGCTTGGGCCTGCTGATCTGCCACCATGACTCCTAAGTGGTGTTTAACAATAGAGCTAGTGAGAACCTGATAACCCCTCTCGGATATCTATCACAATCAATTATCAGGACTTGACTTCCGTCAGTACCAGCAGCTTGGAACTGGTCCAAGGCTAAGTACTCATTGATTGAATGTGGGCAAGCTGGACAGCATGGTCTTACGACGCTCTATTTTGGAAAACCACCATCGATCTTCTGCACCACCACATGCGAAAGCTGCCACTATGCAAGCGAAAGCGCAGCAATGAGCGGCATCCCTGGAGGGAACCCTGAAGGTGTCAGACCGTGTCCCTTTGTAGGCGTCCTATTCCATGGCAGGCGTCTTTGATCATGATGTTGGAACACTTCAAACTTCAATGAGCTGTACAGAGCTGGGAATGCACCATGCTGCACAAGCACTGGCAGGCTTTGATTCCAGCTTGACCTGTTTCGGGTCAGAGCTCTTTTAACGCCCAATATGCATTCTGCAGATTTTAGGAGAGGAAGCCGCTTTCTACTGAAATTTGAGCACAGTCTTTTGAGAAGAGGTTCTTCTTTGTGCGCGACAAATCCGTCTTCTGAAACAGGTTCTGCACTGAGGTTTGTGTTAACCAGCGAACAGTCAAAAAGTCACTGATGAATGCAACACCTCCTCTCATTGTCAAGCAGTGTGTCAAAAGTAGAGTGGGTAGAGTACTCCTACTTCAAGGGCGGACTCATGGCATTTGGCTCCACCACCACGATGTAGAAAAGGTTCTGGTTAGAGAGTGACCATGGCAAGCCCTTTCTTGTGCCTACGAGCTTGTCTGACGCGGGAGCTGGATGGCTTACCACGGTGGTTGCAGAGACTTCCCATCTTCTCTCCCATGCTTTTTCCGCGGGCGCCTCTGCACACAAAAGCAGGAAGCCAAGAAGCGCAGCAGCCCTTGGAACTTCTCACATTCTCTGAACCAAGTGACTTGAACGCCACTACGCACAATCACACATCTCAGAACAATGCTGCTGGTGCCACCACCACTTGTCCAAGAGGGCTAGCCCAAAGGCCATATCATTCTTGGCATGTTGCAAGCTTACTCAATCAAGGCTGCTCTGATCTTCCCTTTCCTTCAAGCAGCGCTTTTTGCGCACCTGGAGCAAGGAAGTACTCAAGTGGGGCAGGTGAGGAGGTGGTGCGGAATGTGAACCTGGTCCAACGCAGATGTCTTTCAGCAGGTATCTTAAGTGACTGGCGTGCACACAGACAACGCTTTATAGAAGCCTTTCACATCTTCTGATGAACCAATTAACTTTTGTACTTGACCCGACTGCTGCGTCTTGCATCTGCCGTAAGTAACAACAGTCTGTAAAAAGTGCAACACCCAATTCTTGTCATCTGTGTCACTCATGCTGGACTTTTTCTCACTGTATGATCTTCACAGGGCTTTCGTCTTTGCCCATCAAGAGACGAGCCGACTTAATGTGGCTCCTGAACCAAGAGGTAATATTCATTCTCTGGGGCAGCATTCTGCACATGAAGACCAGAGACCAATTAGTAACCTGCTCCTAACATGCCAGTCTAGCATACTGCTTCTTCAAAAGCTGGGACAGCTTCTGGGATGCCTTTGTCAGGCCAAGTGGTTGTACTGCTTCATCCTGTGCTTTTTGATCGCTATTTGCGTTTATCAGGAAAAGGAAGGTCTACACAGTTCTGGCCTAGACAGATGTCTAGTGATGGGCGGGGTTGATCATTGAGGAGTTTTCAGGTTGTGTTTAGAGCTTGTTTGGTGCTGCCGCAGAACGCCTCCCTTCAGTTCTGGTTGAGAACAGAAGAAGACATCAGCACTGATTCCATGGCAAGCGGCCTGCTCAAACCGTTAATAGCACTGCGGAAGGTGAGGCTCCTTTCCTTTCACATTGAGATAGTTCTTGTGAGGTACTTGTTTTGTCTGTATACTCTTCAGGTCTGCATGCTCAGTGCCTGTAAAGATTGTCCTTTTGGTTGTCTCTTTAAGGCTTGATAGACTGAGTCAAAGTTGTCTTTTCTTGCAGACACATAGTATCAGCAACTAACATCTATTGGTCCTGTTTAACCGAGAAAAAGGAAAGCCTTCGTATCATAATTCAGGAATGTGAACGAAACGGTCCCCTGCGTACTTTCTCATCTCTCAGGAGATAGCGGAGCTGCAAGCGATCCTTGATGATGCAAACGAAGATGAGGAGATGAAGAACGTCGCAGAAGAGGAGCTTGAAGGCCAGACTCAGGAGTTGGCTCGTGTCAAGGACGAGCTGATCGACCAACTCCTGCCACGAGACGAAGCAGACGATAGTGGGTGCATTCTAGAGGTGAGAGCAGGTAAGATGGGGGTCATGGTTGGAAGAACACGGCTTCGAAGTCACTGTCTCCTCCTCTTTAGATGTTTGGAACAATAGAAGTCATCTCCGTGTGGATGACGTAAGATGGATTTTGATTCAATAGAAACGGCAGCGAACCTAATTGTAATCTCAAAGCTGCATTCAGTGCATAATCACAATCTTGACATGTGCTGGAAAGTACAAGCAAAAGCGTCGAATGTGCTTTCTTGACGCATCTTCAGGGAACGTGTGATGACCAAGAAAAACTACTTTTGTCAGAACTACGATGCAAGCGTTGTTGAAATCTCACAGGACCGTCTGTCGAGTCTTTGACCTCTCGCTTGGAATAAGTTCCCTTTTTACACATCACTCAGCAAGATTTGCACACTGTTCCAACTCATGCAGAAAAACCAGACAGAGTTCACGACTGTCCTCGCAAGAGCTAGAACGAAGAAAACTGTTTCTTCCAGGCACTGGTGGCGACGAAGCTGCCCTGTTTGCGCTGGAAGTATTTGGCATGTACGAGAGTCTGGCCAGGGGCAAAGGCTGGAAGTTTGAGGTTGTGGACGTCAACAGCACAGAGCTCAAGGGCTGTAAGGTACAAGACTGCAAGTCTGGTTTGCGCTCACGTGCGACTCACGATCTTCGCTCAACTTTCGCCCTTTCTCAGAGCTCTATGCTAGGGCAAGGGAACTGCGATTTTTCGTTTCTCGAAAGTTTCTAAAAGCACTTGAGAGCTTTTCGATGTGGTTATCTGATTGTTGTCGTGTTCGACTCTTGGATCGTTTGGGCCGATTATTGGTCCCATTATGATCTCGAAAAATCGTTACTTTCGCTCAAAACAGGAAGCCAGCGCGGCCATAAGCGGGCGAGGTGCATATGGACGCTTCAAGTATGAAATTGGGGTACATCGAGTGCAGGTAAGCTGTCGCTCTCAACCTTTATATTGTCGTTCTAGTTGGCATCCTCAACCAGATTTCGATACGTAGGAGTGGCAGCAATCTCTACTTTTCAGAAGCAGACTGCTTCCGTGCTCACAAGACTGGCCTGCTTTCAGAGCAAACCTTTTTGACTCATTCACGAGCGCTTAAGACGACGCTAGCTTTTAGAATCCGTTCCGATCGAGACCGAGAAGTGACTTGGAACATCATTTCTAACTTCACTCCGAGCAATTTTCTCCATAAGCAAGCGGTTGAATCAACAACAGTCCTTTCTAAAGAAGTTATAGAGTTTAGCTACACAGCCGCACCGATCTCTCGACACCAGAAACCTCGTCGTAATGAACAGAGGTTGGATAGTCAGACCTTGGCCAACAGAAAGTGAAAACTGGAGGTATTCATACTTTCGCTCCTTGCAGCGAGTGCCCGTCACCGAGAAGAGCGGCCGCCTTCACACCAGCGCGATCTCGGTTGCCGTTCTGCCGGAAGCCAGCGAGGTACGTCAACCGTGCAATTCAGCAGCACGTCCTTGACTCTGCGTAATGTGCTTGCCCTATTATGGGCTCGCATCAGAGAAGATTCGTGAACGCGTCTACGACCCTCAGCAGGGCTTCGAAGTTGCTGACCATATTCCGTCGCGTAATGCCCCGTTGAATCTGTCTGGTGCTTTAATGGATGGCGGCCAGAAAAAGTCACCCTTGCCCACTCCTGATGCGGCGAAGCTATGCGCATGTGTACACAACGTTATCAGGTCTTGATTCGTTCCGTGCTGATGTACTGCTCTGTAAGTCGCGGACTCCCTAAAGCATCGAGTGAGTCAGTCTGCGGTCCCTGCAACGGCGTTTTTACAACTCGTCATTCATGGCAGTTCCGAAACTTCCCAATAGACTGGTGATTCCAATATAATGCGGGGTAGAATCCGACTTCCCAGTAGACTGGTGATTCCTGATAGATCGTGATTAACGGACGATCTATTCACTGGCTTTCTATCCTCAGGTAGACGTGCAAGTCCGTGACGAGGACCTGCGCATTGACACATACCGCAGCGGCGGCGCGGGCGGCCAGAGCGTCAACACGACGAGCAGCGCGGTGCGGGTGACGCACGTGCCGTCTGGGGTAGTGGTCGCGATCCAGGACGAGCGGTCACAACACAAGGTTCGCCCACCCCGCTCTTCTAACTTTTGTCGCACAGTCAATGCGCACTCGTGCGCCGCTATTGAAGTTGCGAGGACAAACAGTTGCGGGTCAAGGCCAGCCCATCCCGCCTGCGAAAGAGCTCTTGTATAAAAGATAAAGCGCAGTCATTCGTCGCTTTTGGGATAGCTTTTCAGAGAAATAACCGCAGCGCAAGGTTCGCCCACCCGCTCTTGCAGTTTCTCGTTTCTTGAAGTCGGCGTAAAGTCGTCCGTCGCTTTTAGTGTTGCGAAGTCAAATAGTTGCAGCACAAGCTCCGCCCACAATGTCTCCCTTCTGAATTTCAGGAAGTCAGGCAGAAACCTCTGCTTACTGTGGATGTCCATACGGTGTTTGCAACGAACCCTGCGTATTATTGTGTGTCGTGCTGTCTACCACTCGAAAATAGAGTTTCCTCGCAATCTCCTGATGGTGCTTACCTGTGCCTGGGGGCAAACGACGCCAGGGAAACGAGCGCGAGTCGGTTGCACTTTTGCGACCAATTGGTCGTAAATTGGTCGGAGCTCTTGCTGAGCTTTTGCTGCGACACTCGGTCTTGTGTGCCCTGCGATGCGAAGCATGGAAGGCTAAGCAGGTCTATTCCGTGGCCTTCAGTGCGTATTATTACTAAGTGCGAAATCGCTGCTTAAAAACCTTGTTTCAGGATCTGGTCGTCGTTTTCTAGTTTCGAAGCATTGCGCTGAATCTCCAACTGCTCTTCCTGTTTCCTCCCAGAACAAGGCAAAGGCCTTGAAGGTCCTCCGGGCCCGGCTCTACGACATGGAACGTCAAAAGCTGGCGGCGTCGCGGTCCGAGCAGCGGTCAGAACAGGTAAGAGCAAGCACTTTGGTTTTTTGCTCATACACAGTGGAGTCGAACTTACAGATGGTGCACGACTATAGATGCTAATTGCTCAAGGAGCGCCGTCGCGAAGCCATTCAGCACGTCTTTACGCCGTTCGGATCCAGCAGTATAATCTCATCTGCAACCTGTCCACACATCTCACGTTGCGCTGACAACACCGAACATCGCAGAAAACGCCCGGAGAGAAACATTTGAACGAACCTTCTCCGCTTTGCAGATCGGCAGCGGGGATAGATCTGAGCGAATACGGACGTACAACTTTCCGCAAGGGAGGGTGACGGATCACCGAGTAGGCATCACGCAGCATAGTCTGGAAAGAGTGCTAGCAACGGGCGAGTTGGACGATTTTGTTGAAGCGCTGATTCAGAAACAGCGGCAAGATGCGATCGCTGCGCTCATACGGACGAAGCAAGCAAGCATGAGGCATTAAGCGCAATGATCCCCTCGCCTGCCAATGCACAGCCTCTCAGTTTATGGATTTGAACCAAAAGCGTATGGAAAGGCGTTGTGTTCCAGATTCGCAGCCTTGCTAGACTGCAGGACGACTTAGTTACGCCTTAGCTCAGTTCCGAGTTCAAGGCTTTGCAGGTTAATGGAGCTACACATGCTGCTGCATGTGCCAGCTTGCCAGTTGCTGGCAATACACAAGTATTTAGTGCAATAATTCCACTTACACATGATGATCGCACTGCATATACGCAGCATGATGACGGTCGTTGCGCGCGGGCCGGCGAACGGCGACTGATGCCGTCAGACGCCCGAATTGCATCCAAACATGTGGGGATATGTTGGAGCTATTTTTTCGATGCATATCACTTGCTGGCACATGTGCACTAGAACTGTCATGTACATTTCCTCTCTGGATGCTGAGATTCTAATATGGCTGGCCGGTGAGTTTCCCCGTGCGGCATGCGCATAAGTCTCATACGATCATGTGCAACTGCCAGATCTTGCGCGCTACTCGAATGTCGAGAGGTCGCGGCCTCTGGCCATACCATTCGTGCTTAGAAGCACGTTACATTCTGTAAGCGTACGTGGCCCTGTAGGAACATGCCGGCAAGCACATCGTGAAGGTGTATGACATGTGGAAGCACTTTGTGATTGAACGGTGTAAGGCACCATGCCTTGCAGTTTTAATTCGGGCCTGCGGCTGCAATTCGTGCCACGGCCGGAACAGGGCCGCGGATGCACTGATCACAATCACAGCACGGATCCAGCAAACTTGCGGTTCAAATGAGTCGGCAGAATTCAAGATCTCGAGCAAGAATGTTTAATCCCAGCAAGAGCAATATACGGTAGTCAAAGTATGGTACGGTAAGGGGCTAACTAATTGTCAACTATCGGATGGGGGGATCAATGATGCTCCACAGCGCATACAAGTGGAAGAAATGCAGTGGCCCTAGTTTGCCAGATACGAGAGTGACGAATGCATTGAATTCAGTCACTTCTGATCGGCAGGCCGAGGTCAGCCTGTCCACGAGGAGAGGCCACGGGGTCGGAGTCGGCAGCAGACGTCAGTGGTGCGCTCGGAGTGGCTACGTTAGGCGCTGGTACTGGTGCTTTGCTTCCATCAAGCTGCAGTCAGAAAACGGAATGTCCTAACCGGCAGCTTTGAAAGGGTGCAAGCAGAATTTGAGAAAAGCCAGTCTGACCGTTGTCTTTGCGTCCTGCTTGAGCCACAGGATATGGACTCCCGTGCACCGGGGGAAAATTATGACAGTTCCTGGTCGAAACTTTGCAGTGACCGCTCCCAGAGGTGTTCCAGAGACGAACCTCAACAGACCAACAACTTTGATTGAAGAGGGAACCCAAGAAAAACCTCGACGAAGTGATTCTTTCGTGGGTGCCAGATTGTCAGAGTACGAGGAAGCCAAGTTATCATCTTTGACTATGTATAAAGCCCCAGAGGTGGTTTCTTCGGCTTGCAGCACACACTGAGTAGACCCCAACGAGAAGCTCACCGCTGCGGGTGCGTCGAAGGGCTGGACTGCATCTCTGTCAACGGCTGCGCCTGGCAGCGGCGCGACTGAAACAACTTGGTTGACCTTGTTCCGTTCTGCACGCAAAACGTTTCGTATCAGCGCATCATCGGAAGCAGCCCCGTCCGCGACCGGTTTTACTAAAAGCACAGGCAATCCGACAAGTGTTTCAAAGACTACTTGCGCTGCTCATAAAGGGCGGTATTGTTCCATCGGAGCCATCCGCCACCAACGTGCGAGTGTCTAAGCAGACAGATCTCATTTTGCGGCCTTCGTTTCACTTGCACTTGACTCTTATATTGCAAGGAAGTCTGGCGGACGGCAGGTGCTTTAACGGGGCAATGGATTCCTCCAAAAGGCAAATGCGCATTCAATCAGCGAGGCTGAGGGGCACGCACTTCGGCGGTGATGAACGAAGAATCCTGCCGCGACTGCGACGAGGAGAAGAAGGCCCCCGCCTCCAGCCGCGGCCGCGTAGATAACGATCCCCGCGCCGCTGGTGCTTCCCGCCTGTGCCGGTCTGACAGCCAGCATGAAGGCTTCGCTGTTGGACGAGCCAGCCGTGTCCGTTGCCGTGACAAGAATATACGTGGTTCCGCTCTGGCCGGGTGCTGGGTTCGCTTGAACGCCGTAGGCAGTGCCGTCAAAAGTGACGAGAACATTGCTGCTCGGGACGAGCGTGCTGTTCGACGCCGATGCCGAAACGGACACGCCCAGCTTGCCCGACGTCGTGACCGTGAAGCTCTGCTTCGGCATCGGCTGCCCCTGGTCCACGGTGACGTCAGCCAAGGAGCCGATCGCCGGGGGGACGGCGCTCCGCCGGTCGTGGATGACGTCACCTGGGGCCAGGGTGACGACCGCCACGTCGGCCGCGAGCGCCGCCTGCACCGCCAGGCCGCCCGCTCGGAGCTGCGCGTCCACGGCGCCGGACGCAACCGCGCTCCTGACGCTCTGCGCGAACGCGGCCGCGATCACGCTGACGTCAGCCGGCACGCCACCTCGATCCCGACCGTGACCTGCGGGCCTGAGGCGGCGTCCAGGAGTCTCCGCCGGAACGAGGCTTGGAGAGGAACCCCGTCCAAAGATAGAAGCGCGACGGATAGGACCGGCACACCGAGCGCGCGCGCGGTGCCAATGCGGAAGATGCTCTGCTTCTGCGCGGTGAAGGTCGCAGAGCTCTCCCCGGAGACGGAGAGGCTCGTTTGGACGCTCTGGGTTGACGCTGCGGAAATGAGCGGCATCGATTAGCTGAGACTGGAGCGTTGAACATCTTTGGGACCGGACGTGATCAAGGCAGGCAGCGGAACGGTTTGACAAGTTGAGAGAGAAACCCGAAAAAGTGCCCAGTCGCCAAACGCAGAAAGCTGCGCTCCAGCATTTCTGCTGTGTAGGAGGGATCCCGAATCATCCCGTTGCATTGCAATGCTCACGCACGTCTACTCTGGCTTGACTTTTTGGTGTGACGTTTTGGAAAGAACCGCTTTTACTTCAGAACACTAGGGAAACTGTCAAAGCATACCTGGCGGAAGTGTCGCAGTCGGTGTCGGTGTCGAGCTTGGTGCTGGCACTTTGGTTGAAACCGGCGGCTTAGCTGCGAGACAACCAGGCCGATTCGATTTTTTTCAAAAGATGACTCGAGTTCTTGATAAAAACGATTTGCAGACGGTAAGACCATCATACGATTTTCAAGCGTTCTTCAAGAAATATTGAGAGAGCAGAAGCTCGAAAAGCCTGAGCTTTAGGTGAGCTTTCAAGATCGAAAGAGGACGTGACGTGCAGACGAGGACCCTCCCTTATGCCCATCTTGTCAAGCCTGACCGCTTGGCCAGACTTTTATCGGAGGCGACTAAAGAATCTGGATTCACCAAAGCAAGCCTCGCCAGCCAGAGGCTCATTTTGCGCTATCAGCAATAATGGAAAGGGTCGAGCCAGCCACGTTTGACGAAGGCGATGCAAGTACTTTGATTGTGATAAGAAATACAACGAGACCCAATTCTGGCATCAAGCAAAGCAGAGTTTCAACCTAGTTGTAGTCCTTCTGTCTGACTCAGCAAGCTTCGAGTGTAGAAAAGCTGTCGTATAAGCTGATTCCTTGAAGACTTACTTTGCGGAAGAGGCGGTAGAGACTGGAGTCGGGACAGGGCAGGAAAGGCAATAACAATCTGCAAATAGAAGCAAGGAAAGCCCAAGGCTTAGTGATGCAAGGCTTTGGTATTTAAATCCATTATTCGCACGCGACTCAGCGGTATTTCTTAGAAACAGCAAGTAAGACTAAAAGAACACATTGAAAGCATCTATGCAAATGAAGTCATCCTAGAAGAAAGACGACCGATGCACAGATAGTTTTAATTCGATATTGATTGACTGACTGCCGACTCTGATTGTGACGAGAGAAGCGAAACGCGTTGCTCCACCTAAGAGACAAAGAGGACAGGAACACTCACTGTACATCAGAGTCACCGGGGGCTTTTCCACCCACTTCATCAGCCACGGCCCCCACATAGCGTCGGAATGCCAAGGCTGTCCGTCTGATGTGAAAGTGGCCGTGATGTCGGATGCCAGGTGGTACTGCGCTGTCAACCGCAGCGGAAGCACGCCCGTCTGAAGATTCAGCCGCGTATCGTGACCCTGATTGCACAAGCCGTTTGTGGAGGGGACAGATTTTAAATCGATCGGCGGCGGCGTTTGGAATGGTCCGAGCGTGTGCACCGAGAGACCCTGTGTGATGTACGGCTCCAAACGGACGGAAGCGGAAACGGAACCGCTGGTGAGGTTGCCGAGGCTGGCCCAGCAGCCGATGGTTAGAACGGGTGCAAACCCAAGGGTTATCTGCGCGCTAGCGCTCGGGCCCTGGAGGATGGGCTGGTGCATGTTGCGATAAACAAAAAAACGACCATGTAACAAAATTTCGGGTTGGAATGATGGGTAGGCGGGTGGAACCAACGGTAGAGATGGTTGCAGGCCCGCGAGGCGTACGGCAGCCGTCAATTGCTCAATCCAAAATCGTATGATGACTAGCTGGTGATGCGAGCCCAGATTGCACTTCGACCAAACCAAGTGCACCTAAGGAAGCCGAAGAATGGTCCAACAGATCAACTTTTTGGGTCGTGCCAATTCGCCTTGTGATATCCCTACCGATGCAGTACTAGTGTTGGATAGGGCTTGCAATTGCCGTCTGTTTCTCTAGGTTTTTTTCGCAGAATTTGCATATTATCTCCAAATGCCCGTGTCCCATCCGAAGAAAACCACGAATCCTCACATACAGCCTACCGAGTAGTACATACATGACACCCTTACAAAGTACCTAATTACCAGGACCAATGGATCCGGAAGCATCAATTGCAATGAGCTTTCAGGGTCGCAGTACTCAGGTACAGGCTGTGTACTAGGGCCAAGTCCCAGCGGCCTATCCTAGCCTAGGGCATGTGCAGTGAGGACAACCTTATGATTGTGCCGCTGCGGCCTCGCATAACTAGGTACCGGGTATACGGTATATGCCAACTCAATACTTGCTTCGATGGAAGCTCGTTCGAAGTTTGTGATGGGCATTCTTTGAGACAGGAGGTTTGGCACTTCGTCTCCGTCATGCCTGGCCCTGCATCCTCTCTTCGATTGAAGAGCTTTGCAGGCCTGCCTGATGTCGAGATTTGTGGCAGATGTGTGACGCCTCCCTGTATAAAACAGCGTGGCTGACAGGGATGAAGTCACAATCAAGCCAGGTTGCAAGTCCATCCTTGTCCTCTCATATGTCGGCATGAGACTCCGTGCTGCATCCTGAGTCCTGATCATGGCATGTTTTCACTTATTTCATGCTGAAAGCACATGGGATAAGATGATTGCTTGATGGATGGGTCATCAAAGAGAGTCCTTCTCATGTGCTTTGAGTTATGATAGATCCTTTTAGTACTATTGAAGAGGTAGATGAAAAGTCTACTCTGTTTATATGCCTAAAATGATTACATGTCCCTGGCTGAGAGTATGTCCTTTTTGTCAATCTAAAGCTCAGCTTTGGGATGGACCCGCGACTACTGCCTATAGAGCTTTGATCTACTTGTATGGATTTGGGCCAGGCCTGGGGGACAGATGCATTGATGAGATGCAAGCAAGAAAGGGAGACCACCTTAGACAATTTGAACAAGCAATTCATGCAACTTTGCCTGCAGCTTTCATGGCAGCATAGTTGATCCAAATAACTGGAGACGTCATACCTGAACATGGAAAGCAATGAAGTGTGGTCAGTTCCGGGTCTTCTTCTGGTCTTCTGTAGATGTTGCACAAGAGAGTGGGAGGGGGAGAAAGGAGCAGAGATATCAACGAAACAAAAGATTCCCCCAGGCCTGGTTTCCTTCGGTTCGGCGTCCTTGCTTCTCAAACTTTTCTGATGAAGGATTTTGTCTGACTGACTCTCCCGTCCTTTCGGAGATTGAATTCCACCGGAGTCCAATGATCAGTACAGGCCGGATTTGGTCAGCTGTTAATCACATGAACCTACTGTGTCCAACCGAGCACTCTTGCCAAGTCCAAATCCCCCGCTTTTGCTGATTCCCCGACTGCTTTGAGCGACGGAGGGTTTCAGGATAATCCATTTTGATTTTTGCCAAATGGCATCGACTCCGGAGTCCGAGCTTCTCTGGTTTGAGGATCATCGTAGCCCGGGGTTGCAGGATACTTTGCCAATTGGCATCGCCTCCGTCGTCTACGGCGTGTTACAAGGTCCCAGCAGCTCAGACAGCGACCACGGAAGTCGGGATCTGGGGAACAACGTCGCTGCCACAAATTACATCCAATCATTGCAAAGAGTCAGGAATGCACATAGTGTCGTGACTCGTGTGCACCGGTGACCGTACGCACTTGCCACTACCCCGGGCCTTTAGCACCAGAATTGCCTCGACGGACTTGGTGCGAAAAAGTCCGGAAATAGTTTTACCCCAGATGTGCCCCGTAATAGGGGGCGGTTAAGAGTATAAAGGTAGTCCTAACCCGGGTTTGCAAACTGGAAAAACGAATAAAATGAGGTTTCGCAAAACGCTGGTGCGAATTGTCCGTGCCACTACAGTACTCTGCGAAAGGCCGGAACAGTCACGCCGACGCCGACGCCGACTCGGACCACGGACTTGCTATAGCGACGGTGCTTTCAC